TCCAGGAAGTGCCACCCACGCCTGCCACGATTTGCAAGCCCGAAAATGATAGGGAGACCACCCCCGGCGCACCCGTTGTGGTGTCGAGGAAATCCACGCCCGCCACGCTTTGCGAGCCCGAAACGGATAGGGAGACCACCCCCAGCGCACTCCCTGGGGTGTCGAAGAACTACCACGCTTGCCACGCTTGGCGAGCCCGAAACGGATAGGGAGACCACCCCTGGCGCACCACTTGTGGTGTCGAGGAAGTGCCATGCCTGCCACGTTGCGCGTGGGGTGCGGGGAGGGAGGAGGAGGAGGAGGAGGAGGAGGAGGAGGAGGAGGAGGAGGAGGAGGAGGAGGAGGAGGAGGGGAGGAGATGAGGTGGGGTGTGAGTGTCGCGGGTGGGACGCGGGAGGGAAGAAAACCAGAAGCCCATTAAGCATGTGGGAAAAAGGCCATAAACATAAACTTTTGGCGCTCCGCGCTGATTTCTCGGACCCGCGCTGGGCCCCACCGGCGACGCTTCTGGCGCCGCCCTTGGCGCGCGGTCCAGCGCAGATGCAAGAAATCCGCGCGGAGTGCCAAAAGTTTATGTTTATGACGGTTTTTGTTATTCTATTCACTCCTCTTCCTCGTCCTCGTCCTCCTCGTCAGCTTTCGCTCGCATTTGCGGGCCGAACTTCGTGACACTTTCGTGGCGCTCTGGCGCGCCGACAGGGCTTTTTCCCGTCGCGACGAGAGGAGATCAGACGGTCCTGCGACGAGGTGCCACACACACCGTAGCTCACCTTTGCAAGGCACACGGCCCCTTTCGTCGAGGACGAAAATTGGCATGAACATCTCCTGCCTCCCTGTTTGGGGGGGCAGGGCTGGGAACGGCTTCAGGATAACACCCAATCATTACCAGCCTGGAACATATCCCTATCCCTATGCTGGGCATCTCCTCATCACGATGCCAATCTTAGGGACTCCCTTATTTTTTGAGGGCGAATCCCTAAGATTGTCATCGCCTTTTGGCGTGTCAATCTTAGGGATAGGGATACGTTCGAGGCTGGTAAAATCAGCCGATAGCAGCAGCAGCAGCAGCAGCAGCAGCAGCACCAGCAGCAGCAGCAGCAGCAGCAGCAGCAGCAGGCATGCACATCTAAACTTTCGGAGGTTCGCGCGGATCTCTCCGAGCGGGGCTGGAGCGCCCCAGTGGCGCCTCCCGGCGCCGCCGGAGGAGGGTCCGCGCGCGCCGACCCGAGAAGTCGGCGCGGACTGGGCTGAGCGCCAGTCCAAGAGATCGGCGCCGATACAAGAAAGCAGCTGACCCAAGAAATCCCAGAAGTCCGCGGAGGGGGTCCAGACTCGACCCAGCAAGAAGCCATGTGCATTCCTCGGTGTCTGGCGCGCTGTAAAAGGAGGACCTTGCTGCTAGAACCCACGCGGCCTTCAGTCTCGCACGGACGGGTCCGCTCCAGGAGGTGCAGCGCATCTGCGCTCCGCGCAGAGTGTCACACCTCCTCCGGCACAGTGGGCCGATCAGCCGCGTCGGGAGCGAGCTTCACGTCATGAGATTATTTCCCTCGCCGCGGGAGCGAAAGACAATAGCCCCCCACACCCCCTGGGAATAATCCCGCGGGGATTCTACAGTTCGGGGTCCCGGGGAGAATCCACGTTTTCCCCGGCAGGTCGCAGCAGAAGGATTCCAGGGACCTCGATTTCGGCCCCCCCTCCCCTCCCCCCAAGCGCCAGAGCTCTCGAAATTTACGCCCCTGGGAGGTGGTTGGCGTCCTTGGGAGGTGGTTGGCACAGGGACCTCGATCTCGCCCCCCCCCACACACAACCCTCTAGCGCTCGAAATCTACGTCCCTGGGTAATGCTGCTACTCATGATAAAAAGATAACAGCTGCAATTGGTACTTGGCCCGGCGGACAACAAAGTTCGGCCTGGCCGCCCCTCACCGCCGACCAAACGAGCCTCGGCCAGAGATGATCAGCACCAGGGACTTCGGGAGGGCATTCATCATTATCCTGAGCACGGGGTGGTTTTACTGGCAGGCTCCTCCTCGCCCACGGCCAAAATGTTGCGGCGGATGATAAGGGGGGGTAGGAGGAGAAGGATGAGTGTACACTCTGTTCGAGGGATATATATATATATATACACAGATGTGTGTGCGTGCATGTGTGTATGTTTGCGTGTCTGCATGAATGCATGCATGTATGTACGCATGTTTGTTTGTATGCAGGTCTGCAAGTGTGCGGGTATGCTTGCATGCAAGTACGGCTGCTGCATGCGTGAATGCATGCACGCGTGTTTGCATGCACGTGTGCATCTGCGTATGAGTGCACGCACGCACGTACGCATGTAGAGAGAGAGGGGGGGGGAGCAAAAAAGGCAAAAAGAGCACGAACGCCGCACGGAAGGGGGGTGGCGGGGGGCGCCCACCGGAGGAAACCGCCCTGCCACTCCGGCAGGGGCCACGCCCTGCCCGGGACCAGCGACGGGGCCCTCCTCTGGCGGGAGGCCCTCGCGCCCGCATGCCGAGGCCGAAGGCCTGGCGGCAGCCGGCCGAGCACGACTCGGGCCGAGTTGGGGAGAGCGGGAGCCGAACCGCTCTTCGGTCCCCCAGGTCGTGCCGGGGAGGGGGGGTTGGAGCGCGAGGGTTCTAGAAGGATTCTACGTTGGCCTCGCGCGCGCCCCCGAGGGGGCACGAGGTCCAGGTGACAGCGCAGGCGGCCAGCAGGGACGGCGGCGGCGGCGGAGGAGACGACGACGGCGGCAACGAGGCGAGGGACGCTGAAGCGCGTGTAGCAGAAGGAGGGGGACAGCGGCAGCGGCAGGAGGAGGTCGAGGAGCAGGAGCAGGAGGAGGAGGAGGAGGAGGAGGAGGAGGAGGAGGAGGAGGAGGAGCTGCAGCAGAAGTACCAGGGGCGGCAGAAGCAACAGCGAGAGGAGGAGGAGGAGGAGGAGGAGGAGAAGGAGGAGGAGCAGGCGGAGGAGGAGGCGGAGGAGGAGGCGGAGGAGGAGGAGGAGGAGGACCAGCGGCAGCAGCGGCGGGGGAGGACATCCAGAAGATGTTGTCCGATCGGCTCAACGCGGGCATCTCGGGCGTGACCGAGGACCTACGAGTGTGAGCCGGCACGCGCAACTGCCGATGTAGCCTCCGCGGTCGCCGCCGAGCGCGCAAGCGCGGCGAAGAGGATCTGGGCCCGCCACCGCTGAGGGTGCCCGCCTGGCTGCTCGGCGCCAGCGCCCCGGTGAGCCGCAGATTCGCTCCGGGACCTTGCTGCTCCCGGCCGCCGAGGTGTGGTCCGAGTGGCTGGGGCCGGTTGATCGCGCCCGCATCGCCGATGCGTCGGCGACGCGGCTTGATGTGGAGCCCGAGTTGCCCCACGCCGACGTCGCCGATGCAGCGCCGACGTCGCCGGTGCATCTCAGGAGGGGGAAAAAAACACAGACACAACGAATCCGCGATCCCTGGGAGACTATGGGAAGCGGAGGGGAAGACCAAAAAACCCAGAAGGCACGGGAAAGCACTGCGCATCCTGGGAGCTGTGCCTCTTTCTGTGCGTGTCCCTGGGCCCTTTGAGCATCGCCGATGCATCGGCGCTGCGGCGCGAGGCCTGCGACGGACCCCCCGTGGGAGGCCCTGCGGTGGCGCCTGCGGCTGGGCCGTGCGCGTGCGCGGCCTCCGCCCCTGCCCCCGCCTGCCGCGCCGTGGCGCCCCCTCGTGTTCTCGCCCGCTCGCCGCGCGCTGCGGCCCGCGCCTCGGGGCCCCCGTCGGCGGGCGCAGGGCCAGAAGCGGGCGGCGGGCGGCTGCAGCGGAGGCGAGGATCCCTCCTCCTCCTCCTCCTCCTCCTCCTCCTCTTCCCTCCTCCTCCTCCTCGTCCTGCCTTCTCCTCCTCCTCCTCCTCATCCTTTTGAGTTGGCCAGACCTTACGCTTACGCGTGCTGCGTTCTTCAAGTGCTGCAAAAAAAGAAATGGAAGTGCAGATGGCCCAGCGCAAAGGTACCTGGCGGTAGCAGAGGCTAAGGCGGTAAAGAGACATATATTTAAAAAAGTAGGTGCCCGCCATGCAACGCACCTGGTACCTTATCGCAGGAAACCCAATCAAGTAGACCATGTAACATGATGAATGATAAGTTTCTCAAGTGGTACATGCTGCGAACAGTGCAAAGGTAAAAAGAAAGAGAGCGTTCTCCACAGCCACATCTAAAGACGGCATCGGGATCAGCCCATGTGGGGATGTAAGTGTGCAAGTTGAGTACTGCAGTAGGGCTTTGAAAGTTTACCCTAACCTTCAAAGAAGAGCGTGCAATCATTGGGCTGCAATAAGGCTTTTAAGGTTTACCCCTAACCTTCCAAAAATTAGCCTGACGAAGGATCCAACCATAAGCAGTTGTGGATACCGCATTCTGGGTCCATCGTTCTAGGAGGCCCTCGGTGGAGCTCCCCATGAGGCCACGACCCGTGTGAGGGGTGTGCCGAAATGGGGCGGGGCCGCCATGAACCCTGCCACTGGCGCCTTCGGTGGAGCCCCCATGGGGCCACGATCCTCGTGAGGGGTGTGCCGAAATGGGCAGAGGCCGCCATGCGAACCTTGCCGTTGGCACCCTCGGTGGAGCTCCCCACGGGGCCACGATCCTCGTCAGGGGTGTGCCGAAATGGCCCGAGGCCGCCATGCGAACCTTGCCGTTGGCACCCTCGGTGGAGCTCCCCACGGGGCCACGATCCCCGTGAGTGGTGTGCCGAAATGGCCCGAGGCCGTCATGCGAACAATGCCACTGGCGACTTCGGTGGAGCTCCCTATTGGGCCACGATCCTCGTGAGGGGTGTGCCGGCATGGGCCGAGGCCGCCATGCGAACCTTGCCATTGGCGCTTTCGGTGGAGCACCTATGGGGCCACGATCCTCCTGAGGGGTGTGCCGAAATGGCCCGAGGCCGCCATGCGAACCTTGCTGCTGGCGCTTTGGATGGAGCCCCTATGGGGCAACGACCCTCGTGAGGGGTGTGCCGAAATGGCCTGAGGCCGC